ACAACTCTACCCATAATCACTAGGCCAGTCAGAACCTAACAGATTAGATCTCTATTCTATTCTATTCTATTCTATTCTATTCTAAGCACTAAAAAAGATCCCATCCCTGTTGTTGCTGAAGTGCCTGATAAAATTAGGAAGAAGGATGTTCTAAATGAGATGTTATACGTCGTTGATATATTAAGTCCCCAGGTGCCTGCTGAGTGTCAGGGTTGAAGTTTCAGGTCTCTGATTGTATATTGGCTGCTGACTCCTAAAGCAAACCAACGTTGATCTTTTAATCACATCGCACCAAAAAGTTGAAGTCTTTCAGTAGAGTTCTTGGACAATATATGTCAAAGGTGCGCATGAGGGATCCAAAAATACAATTATCCCCTGTTTTAATCATTGTGTTTGCTCCCCACCTAGAATTGACATGGAACCAAGAAACCCTGAATATTTCTCTCCTGCTCTAACTCCTGGCTTAGCTCTTCCATCTCTGTGCCAGAACCAAAAATCCAGCAGTCATGGGGTTTAATCTGCTTTGGAGACGAGTCAAATGTCCACATCTTCCTCTCTTTCCCAAATAGTCTCCTTGGGTCATCTCAGCACAGGAGGGAATTTTCAAAGCCTCTAATGTTTGCATGGCTAGAATAAACACAAAGAGACTGAAACACTCTATGAAGTTTTTAATGACTCCTCTTGCAAAAGAATCCCCAAATCTCCAAAGTAGCAACTATATTGATCAGGGGTGGGCAAACTTGGCCCCCCCACCCCTCCGTTTTTATCCGGTCGGCGAAGGGGGACGGGAGTCTGGCCTCCCTCCGCTGGGGAAGGTGTGCTTGTGGTCTGGCCGCGCTCTGCCCGGGGCTCTGTCCGTGGGTCTGGGGCCGACGGTCTGGCCGTGCTCCTCCAGGCGCTCTGGCCAGGGGAGTGGGGTCAGGGGTCTGGCTGAGCTCTGGCATGCGCTGGAAATGGGGAGCGGGTTCCGGGGATTTTGCTGCCCTCCGCCCGGGGCTCTGGCCATGGGTGTGGGTCCGGGGGTCTGGCTGTGCTCCAGCCGGCGCTCCATGGCTCCATGGCTCATTGCATTAGGGCCAACTTTCCAGAAGTGACCAGAGATTTGGAGTATCTCCATTTTTCAGCACCCAACTTGAGACAAGCCTGGTGTTAGCAGTTCATAATGTGGGCTCAGATCCCTTCCTCTCTTATGGAAAAAAAAACTTGGGAAATAACACAGTTACAAGAGTTTTCTCCAGAGCTTTTTGCCAGGAAGACAGGCTGCCCCAATCTCCATCCCTGTCCCCATGGGAGGATAGGGGGTTTGGCCTCTGAACTCAGGAGCTTTGCTGAAAGCGCATCCATGAATAGATTCAGGCTGCCTCAAGTTGAGCACCAAAAACTAACATTGTCTTTGGAAACGTCATGCTCAAATTCCTGGGAAGACCCTTATATACAGACACCAAGACTCAGGAGCATTGGCAAAAATTGGGACACAAAACATTTTAACTGCTCTATTAAACACACTTGTCCATTGCTGGCTTACAAATTCATTCAACCACTCAGGCTGGTGATTTTCAAAGGAGTCAAAGGAGTTTGGCTAAAAATAAGGCATGGCTGAGGCCCAAAGGGGGTCCACAGGGGTTTGCAGAAATAAATATGTATTTGTAGCACAGACATGTGACCTACAATAGCTAAGAGCCCAGTGGTACCAGAACCTCAGCTGGCCTGTAATAGCCTACCTGAGGGTCTGATGGAATTCACGAAGGAAGGGATCACCATTAAAAGGGCAGGGAATGAATGGCTTGACCCCTTTCACTTTAACCATCGGGGGCTACTTGACATAGGAACAGGCCCACCCCTTCCTTTGTCTAACTTTAATCAATGCCTCTGACTTTATTTTCTAATCAGACGTGATGGGACTGCCACTAAGACCTGTATTTCCCAGCACTTTTGCATTGTAATGGCCCTCGATGGGACACATTAAAATAATCAGTAACTTTGTTTCTTCCACTGGCCTATAATTCCTTGAGAGGTCAGTATAACAGGATACACTTGTGGGAAGTTAGATGCTCTTGTCAGGCAGAAGATGGAAGGTGAGTTTCAGAGTCCTAAGGGTCTTCGGA